ATATCCAATGGATGGATTATATGTTTGAAATATTATTAACTTACAATAATAAGAATATTCATTCCGCAACTAAATTTACACCGAAGGACGCAAGAATGAAAAAGAATGAATTTGAAGTAAAAATGAATATTACAATGCAAGCAAAGAAAACTAGAATGTATCCAGAATTAGACGTAGGAAGTAATGTAAAAATAATGAGGAAGAAAGGCATAAGCGAAAAGGCACATACCAGTCATTGGTTAAAAGAAGTATTTAAAGTAAAATCAATTGATAGTAAATTAGGGCAATCTTACTTTCATTTGGAAGGAAAAGCTAATCCTTATTTGAGACACGAATTATTAAAAGTTTAATATTAAACGAAATACAGTTAAAGAAAAAACGCCTTATAATATTAGTGAAATGTTGTTTAACTATAACAAGTGCGAATGCTGTAAATGCAAAATGACTGATTTGAGTTTAACCTTACATCATATACTACCAGCAAATGTATGTAATAAAATAAGTGAATATAATGTATACTGCAATCAATGCTGTATAACAAGAGACCTTGAAACGTTTTTTCTTGAAGAACATAAGGATAAGGGATATACAAAGTTTCAATTACAGTTAAAATTATTTATGCGACACCAAGCAAGATTTCCTATACACTTTTACCAGAAGATTTCCAGAAAGTCATTTGAAAATGAAATTGATGAATTCTTTAGCAATATAGATTTAATTAGGAGGTTTGGAGGAACAAACGCAATTAAACCATATAAAGCATTTGTCAAAAAATACCGTTATTTGTTTGAATGGATTGACTGGCATTTATTGGACAAAGATAAAATAAACGAAGTCTTGAACGAATTTAGAGCAACTAAATATAGTATATGGTATTACTACAACACTAAATATAAAGTATGTCTATTGTTGTATTTATTCTTTTGGGAATATATTTATTCAATAATAGGAAAAACAATATCAAATATATAGATAAGGATGATATAGATAAATATGTAGATTACATATTTGAAGACATATTGACTGACCATTATTTTAATCCATAAACCTTACAATAAAAAAAATCATTGTAAGATTTATGATTTCAAAATGACTTGAAGAAATAATAACTTAATATATTATAGTGAAATGAGTGATACAGTCGGTATCAATGCTAAAAATATATTGAAAACAAGTTTATGAGTTATAATGTAAAGACTGTGAAATGCTAAAATTACCAATTGAACGGGGTTTTGCAAATGGCGTTTGTAATAATATTTGTCAATATATGATATGCAATAATTGCAATAGAATTATAAGCAAAATTGATGATATGAATAACAAAGATATTGATATTATACAGAATGAAACTCTTCATGATGATTTAGAAATATTTGTGTTTATTGAAATGAATAATTTCTTAACTATAGAAGGGTTTGATCATTTATTAGAATGTGACGACGGAGGATATAATAATGAATTTATTTTTAAGTATTATTGTATGGTAAAAAAACATATACAATATGTATTTTAATATTAAACGTTTAAACTATGTTGTATTGTTTAATTTTTTAAATGAGTTTTTAAATGATGAGTATAGAATTGACGAACTTATATATACAATAACACATGCAATTAGAACAATGCGGTTGTTTAGAACAAAAATAGGAAGTAATATTTATAATGAAACAACGTGTGATAAAATAATAGAAATACTTAAATTAATAATTTAGTTTTAGGCGAAATAGTCCTAAAGAAAAAAACACCTTGTATTAATAGTGAAGAAATGAACGGTATTGAAATCAATAAGTATATTAATAAGAAATGCTATGACTGTTGCCACTTTAAAAAATAAAATATGGAATTGTATAAATTAAATTTACCTAATGGAATAATAAATAATATTATTGATTATGATTTGGGTGAAGAAGATTTCTGTAAAATTTGTAGAAATTGGAGGTTTTATCAAGAATTAATCAAATGTACTTTAAGTATTAAAAGGTTTAATGAAAGAAATGTTGAAGATGACATTTTGATATTTTTAACTGTGTATGAAAGACCACCTTATAGTTATGTTAGAATATTTCTGAAAATCAGTAAGAAACAATATGAAATGATTGAAGGTATATTATGGATGTTGACTTGTCATTTTAGGGAAGGGATTGATGTAAAAGAAGACATTAAAACATATATTGAAAGAAACAAGTTTAATGTCAAAAATACAGTGAGAGATATTAATATTATTTTAAAAATGATGCATGAAAGAAGTAAGATATATACACAACTTAGCAGTCATCAATTAAATTATTACCCTGAACTTAAATTGTAAATTAACCCATAAACCTTACAATAAAAAGCATTGTAAGATTTATGTTTGAATTTCTGTGATTTGTTATTAAAAATATTGTTAATTAATAATTTGGTTTTAGGCGAAATAGTCCTAAAGAAAAAAACACCTTATATTAATAGTGAAGAAATGAACGGTATTGAAATCAATAAGTATATTAATAAGAAATGCTATGACTGTTGCCACTTCAAAAAATAAAATATGGACTTGTATAAATTAAATTTACCTAATGGAATAATAAATAATATTATTGATTATTCAATGGATGAAGAAGACGAATGTGAAAATTGTCAGGAATGGAGAGATAATCAAACTTTAATCAAATGTTTGTTGAGAATAAAAGGAAGACATAATAGAAATGTAGAAGATGACATTTTGATATTTCTTGTTGTTTGCGATATCCCACCTCATGATTGTGTTAAACAGTATCTTAAAATCAGTATGAAAAAGTATGAAATGATTGATTGTATATTTGAGATGTTGGTTTATCGTCAAAAGGAAGGAGAAGATGTTAAAGACCATATCAAATTATTTATTGAAAGTGAGAAGTTTAATGTCAAAAACTCAGTTAGATATATTAATATTATTTTAAAAATGATGCATGAAATAAGTAAGATATATCAATTAAATTATTATCCTGAACTTAAATTATAAATTAACCCATAAACATTACAAAAAAAAAAGAAAAAAAACACATTGTAAGATTTATGTTTGAAAATTATGGGGATTTTGGGATTTGGGATTTTGGAAAAATATATTTTGGGAATTTGTGATTTTGGAAAAATATATTTTGGGAATTTGGGATTTAGGGATTTAGGTGGTAAAATTGGTTGAGGTGACGTGCCCCTGTTGGGTACTGTAATATGGTTGAAGTGGTTGACTGAGGGGATTTTATCTGAATGGGGGCATGGCCTTTGGTAGGTCAATTCCCCCCCCCTCCCCCCCCCTGTTCGCATGGTCACTTGTTGCGTTGGCAAACTCTATGTAATCTTTTTGTTTGCAGGCTTCTCCCTCGATTCAGACCAGTTGGAAAGTTCGAACTTCTTCAAGTTTGAGGCTTCCGCCCCCCCCCCCCCTCCCTGCGAAGAGTGACGAACTGCTACGGAAACCACCACTAAACAAACTATAACGCTAAAACGCTAAGGGGATGGCTGGGCGCCACCAAGGAATTGAAGGGGAACAAAAGCAGAATCCGGCCAAGCAGGGTTGTGGTATCAAGGGGTTTATCCAACCACTGTGATACAAGGGAATCTCCCCCTTTATATAGGGGGGGCTAGTCTTCGAGAACCCCTTGTTGTATCACCAAAGTGGTGATTTCCCACAGCCCTGCGGCCAATCTTTGAGGGTCTATTAAAATAGACGAAATCATCGAGTATGTTTCTGCCGTGAAGTTGAACAGTCTACTGCTCCGAGCCCCCCTGGAGCAAAACGTGCTTAATTGGCAATACTACAGTAAGTACTGTCCCTCCCAAATTTCAAGGATTTTGTCCAACGAAGGTCCAGCTGACTGGTTCCACTCCTAGCGAGGGGGTGGGGGGGTGTAAAGAGGGCCCAACATTAATTGAAAAAATAATTGGTTTCCAGGTGGTCTAAGGGGCCTTCTGGTCGCACCAAAGACCAGCCATCCTAGGCTCTTGGCGAGCGCCCTTTCGCCTTCTTGCGAGCCGTGCAGAAACTAGGAGTCCCGTTGGGTTGGCTCGGTTTGGAGGCGTGGGGGGAACCCATTTACTTCAAGGGTTTCAACTCCAAGCCAAAAATACCTGAATATAATCTGCAATGTTAATGGTGTTTCTAATAGGCGGATTAAGAAGTGTTTTTTATCAGGTCAAGGGCAAACTGTTCATGGCATAACGACTCATACCCCCGAATCGGTGGAACCGCTCGCCAGAAAAAAAAAAGAAGGCAGATATGGTCCTGAAAAAATACAAACACAAACGCAAACGCAAACGCAAACACACACACACACAAAGTCCTAAAACACACAAATAATAATAATGATAATGATAATAATAATGATAATAAGCATAATAATAATAATACAAACTGACGGGTCCATGGCCATCTCCAGAACCAAGCTAGGGATAAGCCTGGAATCAAAGGCTTTGCCGCGAAGTTCACCCGACTTTCGGGGACTGGAGCCCTCAGTTTGTGAAGGCATTCAGAAAAATGAACAAAGAAACACTCAAACTCAGATGCCCAGAGTTTACAGGGAACCAAAACCCAGAAAAAGGGAAAAAGGGCACCACTGGGCAACAAAGCAAAAACCAGAACACCAACTTAAACACATGAAACAACAGAACAACAACAGAACCACAGAAAAAAAAAAAACCAAAAAAAAAAAAAAACACCGAACAAAAACTCCACCGAACAAAAACTCCATTCTAGAATCCCAGCCTTGCTTTGCCTATTCAAACGCGACTTGTTTGGTTTCGGCCCAAAGCAGTGACGGCAGTCAACGACACATATGGTTCCTTTGAGGGCACATCCACAACTCACCTGCTTTTCAATGGCCTCCTCTAAATCGGCTGGTATTTGTCTCAGTTTCTATGTGGCCCCAGCTATCCTTGAAACTGATGAATCCCACCAACACCCACCTACAGTCTTAATCAACCAGGGGGCTTCTCTACTCGGGGTCCCATTACATGCAAGCCCTTCCTTCGCGCGGCTCGGGCGCCGAGTTGTAAGAGATGGCGGAGGCCTGCAGCGTCAAGTCCGCCATCTGGCAGAGATACGCCTGGGCACGCTCCTCGGTGACGTGCTCAGAGATTCAGGCAACGACTCTGATAGGAGGGCAGGGATTCCAAGAAATGGTTGGTGTTTGTTTGGCCTCTTTTTGATTTGCAATTCAACCACCCAAAAATGGGGTCGACCAGGTGGAGAAACCAAAAAATATCACTTTGAACAGCAGGCTCGGAAAGTGGCAACTGAAAACGCAACTCTCCCCAACCACGATCCAACCCCCTCCCCCTCCCATCAAACCACCATGTGGCTGCGTCGTTTCTTCGGAGTTAACACCCACGTGTTCTGGTGTTCAAGGGCAACCCAAGAGGACAACCAATCACTTTTTCTGGCCGTTCTGGTGATCCCTACCCCCCCCCTCCCCAAAACAAAAAGGTGAGACACGCACATTTCTCCGCGCCAGGCGCCTTTTCAACGCCCCTCCCCCCCCCTTCCACCCCATGCCGGATCCCGCCGGCGCGGGCTTTTCTTCCATTTGCTTTTTCGCTGCGTGGAGGAAAATAAGAAACAAGTTCTTAAGCAAACAGAAATAGATTCCCTTTAAAACCAAGGGGGGAAAACTTGAGCAACTGGAAGTGTTGCGAACACCGCGTCTGCGCCGAGAGGCCCAGCTCTCCGCCGCCGCCATGGCGGCGCCGAAGGCAAAGGCGTCCAGCTGGAGGCGTTTCCGGCGCCGGAGCCTCGGGGCTCATGGCTCATCCCATCGCCCCTTGGGTTTGGCTCCGGTGGAGTTGAAGCGGAACAAGGTCGCAGGAACTATTTTCCAGGAGTTGGTGGACTTTTTCCCTTGAAGAATGGAAAACTAATTTCAGTCCTGGAAACATTTATTGGTTTGGCGCTGGGTTTTTGGACTTGGAGTTGACAACTCGCTTCCGTGGACTGAAAAAACAAAACCAGTCTGAACTCTTTGCCACCAAAATGGCCACCAAACCTCAAAAAGTTGAGCAAGTTGCACTCCGGAACTGCGAGTCGCCCGGTCTCTCCTCACTCACTTTCCTTCCTTCCAAGAAAGGTCCATAAAAGTTTAACTCACTTGCTGAGTGGATGGCCCAAAACAAGTCCAAACTGTATATTTACCACTAAACTGGTCTTCCCAAAAAGTTTAAAGTTCATGAACTCTGGACGTGAGTTAAAGAACTCCCGGCAAAAACGTTCCTCTCACTCCTCTGAACACTGTCCACTGGCCTCAATATTTTTTTTACCATGGTCACAGTCACCAAAGTGGTGGGTTAAAGGGAAACCACCGATTCCATTGTCTAACTCTGATCACCCCCAGACAGCGTCAAAATCACAGGTGGCCTTTTGGAAAAATAGATGGGCTCCCCTGGTAAATGGTTTACAAAACCATCATCTAAACCCGTGGAACCCATCTATTCTTAACCAGGTTCACCTAAGGACACCTACTCACTTGCTAAGTGGATGGCCCAAAAAAACAGTTCAAACTTTATATTTACCACATAAATGGTCGTCCCAAAAAGCATAAAGTTCATGAACTGAGGAAGTGAGATGGTCAAAATAATGACCCCTGTTCCGTTTTCACACTCCACGCGGTGAGGACCCAAAATGCTGGGCCTTGCGAAGGTCTCCAGGGCCCGCAGGCGTTGCCTCGGCTCGGCGCTGCTCGCTCTTTGGGGGAGGGACTCGACCGGGCCCGAGGGCGAAGCGCCCTTGCTTCTGGAAAAAAACACTTCTGAAAAACCGGGCTTCTGGAAGAAGCCACTTCTGAAAAACAAGGAAACACAGAAGACAAAAAAAACGAAACAAATTTGGCCATGGGTCAACATCCAAATCGGTTGGCCCCCAGTGAACATCCGATTCAATCCAGCCACTAAAATAGGTCCTGAGTTGGGTGGTGCACCGAAAACCCCCAAAATGGGATCCCATTGGTTTTGACCCACAGCCATACCCAGCCCCGGAACCCCTCTCCCACCTGGCCCTACCCCCTACCACTTAAAAACAACGACCCCACTTCTAGCTTGGCACCTAGGGAATTGTAGGAGAAACTGATCTATGCAATGTTGACCCAGACTAACAAACCCGTCCCATTATTCGGGGGGTGTTCCCTCCACAAATGATGAATCCCCACTAAAAGGGCCCCATACTCTGACATCAACCAGTGTCAAAGCCAAGCCAACAAAAACCGCCGAAGTGTGTGGCGTTGGTGTCCCTACATTCCAAGAGGTCCCACGGGAACCGTCATTGAGGACCCTTTTTGTCAAAACTTGGACACTAGAAAGCCTTGCGTTTCTGTTTGCTCTATTCTCCTGGGTGATTCAGAAGTAGCCGAACGAAAACAAGGGCGGCAAAACGGCGCGGCCAAACTCCTCATGTTGGCCGATGGCCTCACTCACCAGGAACCCTCGCACCAGTGAAGTGACCGTCCCTACCCAAACAAAGTTGGGGTAGACGTTTGGTCCTGCGCTCGATGAAAGGCATCGCTCTCGATGACTTTCCCCTTTGAACACCGCAAAGGACACACACAGACACATACACGTTTGGCGCAAAGGGTCATGTTCAAGACCGCAAGGAAACAAGGGTAGGCGCTTCTTGTTTGGTTTCTCTTAGGAAACCCCGCCCCCCCCCAAAAAAAAATAAAATAAAAATGGGGACACTCAAATGGCTGTGGCCCAAAAACTGGTACCCACTTTTTGGCCCCTTGGAAAACCTGCGTATCCCCCTGCTCTTCAAAATTGAGCTAGATGTACGCCTCGCATTTTTTGACCACCTGCATCCGAAGCGCTGGCTCTGTGACAAGGCCTGGATGGCGGCGGTGTACAAAGCGATGTTGGCCTCAGCCACTCAAGGCTCTACTTTTTGAGAGGTTGGACTTAAACCCAGGGCGGTTCATGACCTCAAGGAGAACGTACAGGTCAAACTTAAACCCAGGGGTGGTTCGCGACCTGAAATGGGGGGAACCCCTAACTTTCAGTCTTCGACCAAGGTTTCACTTGTTGACTACCGCGGGGCAGGCTTAAACCCAGCGGTTCATGACCTGAGGGGGAACTGCGTTTCGGTCTCATCTTGGGGTTGTCAAAAAGTGGGGTTCCCTGTCCCCACTCAACTGAGTATTCCAAAACAGGCCAACGCTCGAGTGCTTTAGCAGTTTTCTGTAGGCCAAAGTCGACCTGCAGCTTCCCCAAAACATCATTGCTGCCCCACATTCGGCGCACTTTCGACTGGCACACGGGTGCAAAATAGCCCATTGGGAACATGATGTGGTCTAAATTCGTGAAGGTCCCAAAAAGTGAGCCTGTAATTTCGAGGTACTTCTGGGCCAGCGAGTCAAGGACCCTCATAACCACTTCCCATTCGGGAGGGGGGGCTCGCAAGAATCCCCAGCGTTTTGGGGAAGGCCCCGGCTTGCTACGCCTTCCGGGCCGTGGCTCGGGGCCTCCGCTTGTAACCCCAGACGCAACCTCAGTTCATTAGAGCCTGCCCCTCGGTTTGGCATGGGAAGAACGACCGGGGCTGCTGGAACACCCTGGGACGGTCGTTGTTTGAATATGTTCTCTTTATCTCTCTCTCTCTCTCTCTATCTCTCTCTCTCTCTCTCTCTCTCCCTCCCCCCTCTACATAAAACAAAGGAGGGTGCTGTGCGAAAAACTTGTTTCCCCAAACGTCGCCCCGCGCATTTGTCACTCGAGCATAGCGCAGCGCCGCCAACGGCCCCGCCATTTCTCCGAATTCCTCGCCATCACGGATCGAGATGGGGCTTGTTGCCATAGAGGCAATGGTCCCGAAACTTTGTATGTCTCTAGGGGTTGATTCCTTGTCCATTCCTTCCAACCATCGTTCTTTTCTCAAAACCAGCCGTTGTTCCTGGGTTTCCGGAGGTTTTCTGGAAAGAAGGATCCCTGGAAAGAATGGCTAAGGGGGAAGGTATCCCTAGAATGTCAAAATATGTCATGCGATCTCCATTCAAAGAGGGATGTCCGAAGCAAGCTCTTAGGCCTCAGTCTGAGGTATGCTTGCCACTTCTGGACGGATTTGGGTATGTCTTGTTTTCTCTTTTCCTTTTTTAGGGAAGCCCAAACGTGCTTGGTTGTGATTTTGTTTTCCCTCCAAACCACCAAACAAGGGGTAGCCCCAATAGAAGACACACCCAGGGCATTTCACCGGACGCGGCTTAGCCGCTAAGAGCGCCTCAAAAAGGGGGACCGTCAGCGCGCCGGGCGCCTCGGGCAAGACCCCGGAAGCACTCCGGGAAATGCGCATCACGTGCGCCGCTGGGCATTCTGTCATTCCTGCCTGCGCAGGAAGAGGTCAGAGGTGGCTCCCTTGGTCTTAACAGCAAAGAGCAGAGGGTGATGTCGCATCAGCTGGTTTGGGGGGGAATTTCTGTCCACAACTTTGGTTCGAGTTCCAAATAAAGGCCTTTTGGGCCTGAGGAACTCTTCTCCAAGCGCTGGGAGCACCTTGCGGCACTGTAAATCCGTGCGCGCCGAAGCGCGCGTCTCAAAACCGCTGTCTTTTGACAGGACTCGTGCAAGATGCCGGGCACAACGGGCCAACGCAAAAGGGAAGAAACGACCTGTGAACTTCGAGGCGCATGATGCGCCTCACCGTTACCCGGCCAAGCCGCCAATCCTCACGCGTAACAACCTCCGGGGACTCCGGACAAGCCATTGAACTAGTCGACCTCCGAAGTTGTTTCAGGCAAGTTGCCATGAGGAACGGACAGCCCTGTGCACGGTCGGGCTATGAAATTTTAAGCGCGAGCAGTCGAGCCTTGTAGCTACAGCTGCGCAAATTGGGCCATGCAAATGCCCCGTGTGTTTTTCAGAAATGCTCCCATTCGACCTGATCAGCAGAAGTAGAAACTTGGCCTCAAGGACAACCAAACAAAACCAACCAATGATCTCTCTGTCTTGACCTTTTCGGACCGGCTCGAATCGAGCAGTTCGTTACGCCATGGTGTATGCCACCAAGAGGATGACTGGGTAAACCCAGCTCAGACTCGCGTGCCGGTGTGCGAAGTTGTAGATCAAAGCATCATGGAAGCCGTCCGCGGTGGTGGTGCTGTTCTCACCTTCCGAAATGCTCCGATGTGATTTGGGGGAACTGGACTCTTCATAGGGGCGAGAGCTGGGGAGTGAATAAAAACAGTAACACAACAGCAGCTGCGCCCGAAACTTTACTTCCAGCCCGCCAAAGCACAACAAAAAGGAACACAACACGCCCGAATAGTGTTGACCCCGGCTAAATTAGCCCCTAGTTCATGTTTGAGAGACGGTGTCCATTGGAGTCCGGATCACGTTAGGGATCGCTGGACACCACTGGATCCGAACGGATGCCTAGATCCAACATTAATATTCCCGAGCGATCAGGAATCCTACAGGGACACGGTCGCTCGATGTTTCGGGAAGAACCGCGACTCGGGCCAGCTGTTTTGAGGGCCCACCTGATCTCCCACGGCGATTCTTTCAGGCGCTGCCCCACCAAGCAACCGGAGGCTGGTGTGGATTTGGATGGCCTCTGTAGAAACCAGCACTCCCCCCTCTTCATACGTTGGTACGTTCGTGAGGGTGGAGAACAAAAGGGTATGTCATGGTATGCATCAGGGGGGCCACAAAATCGCTTGGTGTCGTCTTGGTTTTCCAGCCTGTTTTGACACAAGCCCACAAAGGAACTTGTGTCTTGGGCAGGGCCTTTTACGAAGAATGACTACTAGCAAAAATCTATCACTGAACCTATGTCAAGGCTCACGCCAATGGAAAGCTCAAACTTACCAGGAAACCAAAGGGGAATGGGCTTCTTAAACACACCGCCATCTGCGCCCCATATCAGTTTCTTTTCAAGGGACCCCAGGGTCAGGATCCATGTTAAGCTAGTTGGTGGGAGGGTACGTAAATGGAAGTTTTGGGCTGCAACCACGGCGCTGGTCCCAGCGGGTTGCGTCGTCCTGCCGTGAAACTGTGGGCAGCACATGGGGTGTTGTCAAACATATGTTGCCCCTGTCTTGGGACCTTGTGCCGGTACGTGCCGCCAAAAAGAAAAATACCAGAGCAACACTGGTTGGGTCCGATCCTTTGAGTCTGATTGGGATAGTGCGAAGCAAGTGGACTACGACAAGGATAGCAAAGTGGCAAGGAGAGAGGTACACCTCAGTTGGCCCAAGGACTGAGAGGTAAAAGTTTAACCTTTAGGGGCCAGTTTTCTAAACATGGACCCAAAAGGAGAGAGAGGGAGAGAGACAAAGAGAGTCAAAGACTGAATGCATACGTCCAATGAACTCCTGCGATGAACCCCTAGTTTGTGGGTTATGGGCCATATATTCAGCCTTTGAAGAGAGAGCAAGCGAATTCAAATGTACACGTCCGTTCCTTCAGGTGTGATCTACCCTCCCTAAACCACTTTCCGTCGGTAGGGGGTTGGAACACCTTTGGCACGGGTGATGCTTTACGGAGAGATATTTCTCAAACTAGTAGACCTCTTCATAGCTGAAATCCTAAACAACAAAAAAACTATCTTAGGGGATCTTCACCTCGCGAATTGGTCAAAACAAGTCTGTTCTTCTGGAGCCAAGGTGGCCTGCCCCAAAAAAACAGAAAGGCAACAGAGGGAGTGAGTTGCGCTTGGTTTCGCAGGGGGTACTCAGTAAGGAAACTCGTGGAGTTTCATGCGCCTAGAGAAACCCATCCGAAACAAATACAAAAACTGTGGTACTGGGCCTGACACCACCGCGAGGAAAACGTTCAGCCTCTGGTCCATATTTCCTACGTGGATTCGCCACAACCTGGACTTTTTAGTGCATTACTAAAATGATCTTGCCGAAACGTGTGAAGTGCCGCAACTCGCGAAGTGAGAAAATGGCACGAACTTGTCAGCGAAGATTCGGAAGTCCTGCTGGTAAATCCAGAAAACGGCAAAAAATAGTCCTCTTCATTGGAGTTGGTCCACCCGCCTCCACCCCCCCAAAACAAAAATACAGCAAGCAGCATGAGTGAGCATCCATCCATAGGGTGATACCCCGGACGATCGGGTCTTCAACAGTGTCTTCCCAACAAACTTATTCTGGCTGCCAGACTCAGTCCTCAGACCCGGGCTGGACGTGGTCGAAGCCACCGTCGTCGGCGTACTGGTGCTGTCGGCAGCGCCCAACGCTGCGGTCGTGGATGGATTGGATGTGGCGTTGCCCGACGAGTTCGTCGACCCGGCACCGTCCTGCCCCGCTTAAGGAAAAAAATGAGGGCTGGAGCCGGTACCCCGTGTATGTATGCATGCATGCACGTATGTATTCATGCAGGGATGTATGTATGTATGCATGTATGTATGTATGTATGTATGGCATGCATGTATGCATGTCTGCATGCATGCATGCATGCATGTATGTATGAGTGTATGTGTGAGTGTCTGGTATGAGGTGCGTGCGTATGTGTGCTATGCATGCCATGTATGCCATGTATGCTATGTGTGCCATGTATGCTATGTATGTTATGTATGCTATGTGGGTTATGTGTGTGTGTGCTATGCATGTTATGATGCCTATATGTTATTATGCACGTTGTGTATGTTATGTAATGTTGTGCAAATGCAATTGCACATGGAGTGCAAAGTCGTGTCATATAACGCAAAGGAAAATGTCATGCACATGTAGTGTGATGTATTTTAAGGTACGTAATAGTAATGTCTGCATGAATCCTTGTATAGGAGGTATTTGTGTTCCAGCTCATTCCCCTGTGTATGGTACAACGTTGGTTGCCAGCCCCACCTCCATTCTCGGGCACCCCCACAACAGTCATTGGACGAGTAGCTCATCCCTGCGATGCTGAGTGCGGTGATTCAGGGTT